AGAGAGAGAAAGAGGAAGAGAGAGAGAGAGAGAAAGAGGAAGAGAGGGAGAGAGAGAAAGAGGAAGAGAGGGAGAGAGAGAAAGAGGAAGAGAGGGAGAGAGAGAAAGAGGAAGAGAGAGAGAAAGAGAGAGAGAGAGAGAAAGAGGAAGAGAGAGAGGAGAGAGAGAGGAGAAAGAGAGAGCGAGAAGGAGAAAGAGAGAGAGAGAGGAGAAAGAGAGAGAGAGAGAAGGAGAGAGAGAGAGAGAGAGAGTGAGAGTGAGGCTCTGGAAGCTTAAGGTGTTGACCAAGTCGATGGTGAGGGCTAAGTAACTTCGGCTTTGAGTTTTCGAGGTGATCACAGGTCGTGTTGTACGACAGTAGATGAAATGTTACTAAATATAAGAAAATAGAAAGAGTACACATAGGCATCTATGTACAGTGCGGCTTTCATAAGATTTCTATGGTGACATGGTTAGACGAGGACATTGGACATGCTTATACCACTAAAAAGCTTCGTGATAAGAGATCATGGCGCTAGATATACGTGAACATATTGTTAAGTAGAGTTTCGACAATAATAATGATTACAAAAGCAGTCATACAGATAGTGCAGTTTCTGGTGAACATTTTGAGTATATACAAGATATGAGTTTACACAGTTTATACAGTTATAAAGTAATCGGCGAGAGTGACGGTAAGAGTTGGAATTGCTTGCTCTGGGGCAGCTGGTCAGGGTCGTCTCGTTCGGGGCGCAGACACGTTGGCGCCGGCGATAAACAGTAGAGTACAGTGCACTGTGGGAGGCCTAGGACGAGGAAGAGGTGAGAGGGAATTAAGGGGGGGAGGGAGAGAGAGAGAGAGAGAAAGAGGAAGAGAGAGAGAGATAAAGAGGAAGAGAGAGAGAGATAAAGAGGAAGAGAGAGAGAAAGAGGAAGAGAGAGAGAGAGAGAAAGAGGAAGAGAGTGAGAGAGAGAAAGAGGAAGGGAGAGAGAGAGAGAAAGAGGAGGGAGAGAGAGAGAGAAAGAGGAAGGGAGAGAGAGAAAGAGGAAGAGAGAGAGAAAGAGGAAGAGAGAGAGAGAGAGATAGTAATTGAGAGAGAAAGAGGAAGAGAGAGAGAGAGAGAAAGAGGAGAGAGGGAGGGAGAGAGATAAAGAGGAGAGAGAGAAAGAGAGAGAAAGAGGAAGAGAGAGAGAGAGAGAAAGAGGAGAGAGGGAGAGAGAGAGAAGGGGAAGAGAGAGAAAGAGGAAGAGAGAGAGATAGAGAAAGAGAAAGGGAGAGAGAGAGAGAAAGTGGAAGAGAGAGAGAGAGAGAGAGGAAGAGAGAGAGAGAGAGAGAAAGAGGAAGAGAGGGAGAGAGAGAAAGAGGAAGAGAGGGAGAGAGAGAGAAAGAGGAAGAGAGGGAGAGAGAGAAAGAGGAAGAGAGGGAGAGAGAGAAAGAGGAAGAGAGGGAGAGAGAGAAAGAGGAAGAGAGGGAGAGAGAGAAAGAGGAAGAGAGAGAGAAAGAGGAAGAGGGAGAAAAAGAGGAAGAGGGAGAAAAAGAGGAAGAGGGAGAGAGAGAGAGAGAGAGAGAGAGAGAGGGGGGGGGGAGAGGGGAGAGAGAGAGAGAGAGAGAGAGAGGGAGAGGGAGAGAGAGAGAGAGAGAGGAGAGAGAGGGAGAAAGGAAGAAAGAGAGAGAGGGAGAGAGGAAGAAAGAGAGAGAGAGAGGAAGAAAGAGAGAGAGAGAGAGAAAGAGGAAGAAAAAGAGAGAGAGAGAGGAAGAGAGAGAAAGAGGAAAGTTTATTGAGACAAAAGCTCACAGGTCCAAGCTTTGTGGCCCATCGGCAGCACTTAACCCAATGGTGCCTGGGAAAATGAACAAAAAATGGGGAAAATGCTGTGCCCACTTTCTATGTTTTTCATGAAATGTCTGCCGATAGATGGCTCTGCTAGCGCCTGATCTAAATGGTGGGAAAAACGTATTTTTCACTAGTGCTATGAAAATCGATGGTGTTATTTTTATCCTAAACATAATTTTTATATATATTTTTTTTAATTAGTAACAGCAAAATAAGATTACGTAAAATATTTTGTGAATAAAAGAAACGGGTAAATGGGCGAGACGGGCGGTGCTCGTAACTGGCTCATTGGGGAGTTAGTACAAGTGTTGCCATCTATGCGTAACAACAATCAAACAAGTACTCACGGTGGGCATAGCACGTACGTACACGTCATACCCGGCACCAAGGGGTTAAGGCACTGGCGGCTCCACGTGTGGTGCCACCCTCCTGTGCCCGCTCCAGAGATGAAGACTCCCTCTGGCACTTCCCCTTTCGTGAGGGCAACGAGCTGACCCGCTCCTCGCCCCTGGACGCATGCCTCTTCACCCACACAAATCTGTCATCGTCCAGCAGAAAGTCTGGGTCCAGTATGGTCGGGTATCGGAAAATTATCACTTCAGTGAGTTTTTCCGTAGCCTTTGGGGCAGTCATTACTGTCCCCTTATGTCCCTGAGTCGTCAGGGTCTGCTTCGCCTCGCCTGCCC